GCTCGTCGTTCGCGAACAACTCATGTTCGACTCATTCGTTAATAAACGAACATGAACAATGACTTCACGAACAATTTAGAACACGAGCTTATTTCAAACAAATTAAATTTCAAACAAACCGAACACAAGATTTATCAGTCCGTATTCGCATCATTTGCACCCAAAGATTCAACGTACACCATATTTTTTTTCAGAATTATCTAATTGCTGTAGTATTTGGGGACATGACAGCCATCTTATTTTATTGGAAGCTTTTCCAACGGCAATTTCGCAGAACTAGCCGTTGTGTACGAAATATTAATGATCGAATAAAAAGGTGCCCTTTACTTGAAAGAAAGAAAAAATTCTTTTAATTAAAAGTAATTATATATAAATAAAAATGAGCATTTAAATATATATCACATAGTTTTTATACATGTACATTTTGACACAGTTTCATAATTACATACATAACACTCAGGTTTTTGACATGATAAAAATACACATATTCATCTATAGATTTTTAAGCCACATTTACATAAATACCTCACGATAAAAATACACATATTCATCTATAGATTTTTAAGGGACATTTACATAAATACCTCACAATTCTTAAGGCCCGTTTGGGGCAGCTTATAAGTGCGGCAGAGTTTTTGAAAACCCCGTTTAACCGTTTGGTTTGCGCGTTTTTGAAAAAGATCTTAGGGCCCGTTTGGGGCAGCTTATAAGTGCGGAAGAGTTTTTGAAAACCCCGTCTAACCGTTTGGTTTGCGCGTTTTTGAAAAAACTTCATGCCGCGTTTGAGTTTTTTACACTTAACGCGGGCCACGGATCGACCCGCGGGCCGCTTTTCAAGATAAACTATCATGCCGCGTTTGAGTTTTTTACACTTAACGCGGGTCACGGGTCGACCCGCGGGCCGCTTTTTAGGATAAACTGTTTATCCTGAAATGCACAAGCTGCCCCAAACAGACTCTTAATGTATTTAGATAGGAAACTCAACTTTTATTTTTACATGCACAAAATATAATTTTTGAACATCACATTCACATCATGCATCTTTCATACATAGGATTCTGATAGTAAGATGTTTAAAGGTCCGTTTGGGATTTGGGGCAGCTTATAAGTGCGGGCGCGTTTTCAAAACTCCGCCGTACTATTTGGTTCGAGCGTTTCATCAACTTATCCGAAACTGCGTTTGAGTTTTTACACTAAACGCAGACAACGGATCGACAGCTGCGGCTGGCCCGCGGGCCTCGTTTCATGATAAACAACTTATCCTGAAACGCACAAGCGCCCCAAACAGACCCTAAGTGTAAATACTAAAATTTAAGTGTTTAAATGTAAATAACAAGAATTGTGTGGTATGCATGTAAATTTTCCAATTTTTAATACAAAATGAAATAAATTTAAATATCAAGCTTTAGATGTTAGATATGTAAATCCATAAGAATTGTGTGGTATGTATGAAATTTTTCAAAATAATATTTAAAACTAGTATTATTTTATTTATGAAAAATTATTCTTGTTGTGGGTTCTTTAAATTCAAATGATTTCAAACTAGTTGTAATTTACAAAAGATAATGTCAATTTCGGCTCTTACTAAACTAAAAGAAAATTGGGGAGGCCAAAATGGACATTTTAATTCGACTCATGCTAACCCTAATGCCAACCCTTTTTGAAGTGAGCGGAATTCAAAATACAGCAATGACGTTAAAGGCAGGGCTGTTGAAGATGCAAATTTCCAGTCAGCTCTAAATCAGCCTGAATAAATTTCATGAGGCTTAAAATCAACTTGTGACTCATTATAATTGATTTGAGTCAAACTAGTTCGAAATTGAAACAAGCTCATTCCGGCTTGAAATCAAAAAGAGATGGCTCAAATCGAGTTATTTGGATCCGTTTTAGCCCGGAATCAGCTCGATCCAGCTCAAAATTGAAACTAACTAGCTCAAATTAAGTTATTTGGATCTGTTCTGGCTCGAAATTAGCTCGAAATTGATTTCTCTCCCTTTAAATTAAACTTTACTTAACATTATATATATAATTTATAAATAAAAAAATTTAATACCAACCAATCTGATCCTCATTTATTTTGATCCAATCTTGATCTGAATCAAAATCCAAATCGATTTCCGAGAGATTAACTAACTTAGAGCAAAATTCACAGCCACTAGAGCCTTACTTCTATTCCTATCTTGATACACATGAACCAGGTAGAGAAATTGGCATAAAGAAGTTGGATCTCACCATCAAAACACAAAACAGTACAACAAAATTGGTAATCAGCTGAATTATGTAAACTATATGCCATCATAAGCTTTTCCGAGACAAAAATCATAAACTTTCGAGACAAAGAAGTAGCAGATCAACCAACATCATACCCGCTAGTCCGCTTCATCCCCTCCATCCTGAGCTCTGAGACAAACCCTAAACACCAAATTCACATTTTTTTCCTACCTCAGTGATAGTGATACACCCAATTCACAGCTCAGCTCCAAAAGAACCAAAGAATAGGCATTTCAGCCAAACCGTTCCACCTATCGTCCAAACAGCACAAAAATAGAAGCAACCAAAATCAAAACCATGGAAACACTGCCTTCACTGCCGATCCTCGAAGCTCCACCCGCCGGAATCATGTCCGGCAAGGAGCACTCATCGCCATTAAAGAAAACCTTTGAAGGATACGCATCGCCGGAAGGCACATCAATCCCCGGGGTCTTCGACTTGGTGAACGAGATCACTGACTGCTGCTTCCCGGGAACTCTCGGGTCTTTCGCCGGATTTGATCCATCCACTTCTCCCATCAAATAATTCAATCCCGGCAGCCCTCGCATGACAATAGTATCACCCCCTACCGCCGTGCCGTTAAACGAATATGCCGCCTCGAAGCCATCGTAAGCTTTCGGCATCTCGACGGCAATGAACCAGTCGGCCAAGCTCACTTCCTCCCAATTGAAAAGAGTAACCCTAGCTGTCCACCCCTTCTCGTAATCAGAATTGATATGCCAATTAACGCTCACTCCGCAGAAATCACCGCAGGGCATAGGATTAGGAACAGCCAAGTGTTTGATCTCAGCCCAAGCCAGCGCCTTTGCGCTGCGGTTGTCGAAGGGTACAAGGAGGGCGTCGGGAGGAAGGAGAAGAGCGGGAGCGGTGGCATTGCATGTGCGAGAAACGCTTGATGCCGGGCAACCGCAAGCGCAGGTCTTACATGGGACGGAGGAGTCGTTAAAGTAAGCGGAGAAGGAGACGCAGCACTTGGGCTTCGAGTTCTTCGGCTGAGAAATGTTGCAGACCACTTGCCATGAAGCTATGGCGGATGAGTTGGATTGGAGGCCACTAGGATCGGGGAATTTGCTTGGCGCGACGCGGATTGGAGCGCCACAGGTGTAATCGGGGTTCAAAGTCACGCCGGCAATATGCCAGTTTTGTGGAGGGTTGAGAACGGTGCGGTTGTCGTCTGGCGGCATTTTGAATACCTGGAGTTGAAAAGCTGAGGCGGACTGAGAGGCGTCCATGAATGCCGGAAGAATGGTGCCGTTCCGGCAGCAAGATGGGATCTTGCCGACATTATCGTCGTTAGCCATTGAAGATGGGAGATCTAAAATTGTTGGTATCTTCTGACAATTTACGACCTTGGAGAAATCTAGATCTTTATAAAACTTACCCTGCATCCCGAAAATACAGTCGGAGGAAGAAACTAGAGACGTGTAAGCGCCTTTAATGGAGTATATGAACTCACCGCGCATCCACTGCCAGGAAAGCCGCCAGTTATCGAGGCGCCCGCGGGGGCTTTCGTTATTGATCGTGACGAGCGCCAAGTAGCTTGAAGAAAAAGATTGGATAACGTCGTAGTTAATGGTGAGGTCGCCGGAGCGGCGAGGAAGGAAGTTTCCGTCGGCAGAAGTAGAGTTATCGATCGAGGTGGAGTTAGTCAGAGGATCAAGATTCGGCATACAGCAAGTTGAGATGGATCTATTCGCACCATTAATGGCGGCGCTAGGACAAGTCCAGGCTGGGTCTGAAAGGGAGATTGTGGACGGCAGAGGGATCCCTGGGTTTTGAACACCGAATTGGGTTCCGATGATGGAAACAGAGGTCTGGATCTGGGAGAGATCGCCGGCGGTAGCGATTGGGGTTTTGAGATCGGGGTTAGGGAAACCTGAGAACCCTACGGGAGTTTCGGGTTCGGTGGAAAATGGAAGAACGGAGCCATCGGAGAGGACGGCGTTAGAGATGGAGACGAGGATGTCGTTGTGGGAGAAAGCAAGGAATACGGTCCAAGCTTTGAGATCGGTGGTGCCGGAGTTGAGCAGGGTGAGATCGGCGCTGAAGGAATAGGGCTGCTTGGCGAGTTGGGAGACGAAAGGATGAATCTTTTGCCGGTTCTGGAACTGGTAGTTGATGAAGATGCCATTACATGTCGTTGAGTTGGATGGCTGCGAGACCTGAGATGAAGACGGTCGGAGGAAGAATGCTGCCGAGAGCAAGAAGAGGAGGGAAAACATTGAGTTGGCCATGGAGATACAGCGAGAGAGAAAGAGAGGGGAGAAGGGGGAGCGGGTGATGAAAAGTGGAATGAAGCGCGTTGGGGAAGAACAGCTGAGAGGAAGCTGGCATGTAGGATATGGATCGTTGAAGAGTGCTTTCTTTCTTCGTTTTTCTGTCTTTTTTTTTTTTTTTGGATTTTATAATTTTTTTTGCAGGAAGAGGTAAAGTCTTCCGGCTACTGGTTTGAAAATTTACAATTTTTTTTTTTTTTTAATGTTTGAGCCGGCCGGGGAAGGAGAAGGCCTGCGGAAAAATATTACATCAGTATTATGCACAAAGAGTAACATGCGTAGTTTAATGTTTGAGCCGGCCGGGGAAGGAGAAGGCCTGCCGAAAAATATTACATCAGTATTATACACATAGAGTAACATGCATAGTCAATGAAATCACGCCATGACACCCGCGCGATAGAGAAAAAAAACCGCGCAGTAACACATAGAATATTCCCTCCAGCGTTATTGATGTGTTATTGTGTGTTTTTCATGTGTTATTGTGTCCTGTTATTGTATCCTGAAAATATTTTTGGTGTTATAATAACACAATAACACATCAATAACACATGAATAACACACAATAACACATGAATAACACGGGGGAGAACATTCTCCGGGGGAGAATATTCTCCCGTATTACTGCGTCGTTTTTTTCTCTGTCGGGAATATTTCCCGTGTTATTTAGGTGTTATTGTGTGTTTTTCATGTGTTGTTTTGTCCTGAGAATATTCTTGTTATTATAATAACACAATAACACATCAATAACACGTAATAACACATGAATAACACATCAATAACGCGGGAGGGAATATTCTCCGTGTTACTGATCCGTTTTTTTCTCTCTATCGCGCGGGGTCTCGTGGCGTGATTTCATTGGCTACGCACGTTACTTCTACGTGCGTAAATACTGATGTAATATTTTTTCGGCCAGCGAAGACTTCAGAATGCTGTATGAATAAATCTACGTTTTTGTTTTGTTTTTTTTTTTTGTCAAAACTCAGGTTTAAAAAGTTTAGTGATTACTTATGAAATATAAAATATTAAAACAATTTTAATATAATTAAAATAGTAAATAATAATATACTAATAATAGTATTTTATTAATTCAGTATATAATACTTTAATTGAAAATATTTTGATATTAAAAATTTTAGGGATAATTATATATATTTATAAATTAAATTTTTTTCTTAAAATCTCATGTATTTAAGATTAAACTATTGAGAATTTGGTATAAAAGAAACTATGGGTCGGCGTTATACATTGAATTTTATTATTTGAGTGAGAACTTTAAAATTGAATGAAAGAGGTTGGTTGATTTGTAAATTAGCAAGTTTTGGACGGCCCTCCTGTGATTGCCCCAAAATTTTATTATGATTCTATGTTAATTTGATCCTTGGAAGCCTATTATTAATAGAATTTAATTTACATTCAATCGAAATTAAAAAAAAAATAAAAAAATAAATCTAAAGCTCCGTTAACATTTAATTTTTTTTTCTCACATTTGTGTTCGTAAATCTAGCTTAAATAGCTAATTGGAAATAGAAATAAAGAATCTCAATGTATGAGAATAAAAATTATAAAATGCATTATTATTAAATTAATATGTTAATTAATTTATCTTAATTTTGAAAATAATTTATTTAATAAGACTAGCTTTAGACATATATTCATATGACATCCAATATTAATTATTATGATCAAATTAATGGATTTATCAACACATGTGCACATAATAGCAAATGCACAACTATTTAAGGCCCCGTT